TCATAAACTAGAAAATGATAATAAACTAAAAGCGCTGGGTCACCGACCCAGGACCATGACAGTACCCCCCACCCCCCGCAAGAGCTGGCACCAGACAGCCCAGCAGAAACACAAAAACCGACCAAAACAAAACAGAAAACGACCCGACCAGGGCGGGCGGAGGGGGCCCAGGATGGAGGGACAGAGTCCAAAAAGGCCCAGATGGTCAAGTTCAGGGGTCCGAACCGGAGGCCGACAACGCAGGAGGCCAAAACAGTTCAGTTCCGGGCCGACCATGCAAATGGCAGCGGCAGCGGGGCAGGTCCGGGGGCCGGCCACGCAGTAGGCAGTGGTGCATGTTAGATATTTTAGTATTATGGGAGCATGTACTGAATACCTTTTTTGATGATAGTATACAAAGGACCCTGTTTCTGCAATGCCCTTTGTTTGAACCTCATGTCCTCTTGCTGTGACACCACGGGCGACTTCCTTTGGCCTGCTGGTCTGGAAAATCCAACAGTTCATCTATATGTAAAGAAGGCACTTAAACTGGAACAGGCATAGCTGCGTCGATCCTGCCGTGGTACAATAGGACAGTGCATTCCTCGAGTGCACATCAAGCTTGCAGCCTGCTAAAGGTCCCCAAATAAAGTAAATTAAAAGCAGAGAGACACAGGAAGTTGCCTGTTGTTTTGCGAGAAGTTGCTCGTTAAGTGAGAAGTTGCTCACTAAAAAAAACAAAGGAAAAGAAAAGCTAGCAATAGATTGAAAGTAACCTCAGCTGTACCTCAGTAAAAATACTAACATAAATCCTTCAAGCGTGTAAACCCCTCTGGAAATCACTGAACATGGGTCAGAATAATTCAAAGACCACAGACAGGTCCGATGAAAAATCGAAATTAACTGTAAAACCAAAAAAAATAAAATATAAAGTCACAAATAACGGCTCAGTACGACTCCCACTTCCGGTTACGTGTAACCCACGTCCGCGAATCGGTGAAGACTTCCATGATTACGTATCCAGAACATGTGGAAGTGCTTACGTGACTGACTTTGTCTACAACTTAAGAACTGTAAGTACAATGCATTCTAATTTATTTCTCGAGCCCTATCCTGAACGATTATCGCCAGAAAACAGGTCAGTAGAAATGCTGAATACCATTTGCTATAAGAAAAGTAGTCTGCTTAAAAAGTCCTGTAGAAAATACATGATAAAATGCTGTGACGTGATCCATCAAGTGTTACCACTGTGGAGAAGAGGACCGGAGCCAGATGTAGATGCTTTAACATCAAATAAAGCTAGTGCAGGCTCTAGCATAGAAAATAAATCTACCGCAGGAAAAGCTAGTCTTGCATGCTCAGCCGTTCAGCCTACAGCCCCACCCCCTTACGAAGATGAGACCGAATTAATAGTCGCTGTAGCAGCTGCACGCACACAACGTCAGCATTCTGATCAACCAGCTCAAAGAAAGTGACAAAAAACCTGAATCACATGCAACGGATCTCAGCCGTCTCTTTGAACAAGATCAGGAAAAACAATATATACGCCGCGAGGAAGAATTAGCAGACAGTGTTGGGGAGTAACGGAATACATGTACCGCCGTTACGTATTTAGAATACAAAATATGAGTAACTGTATTCCGTTACAGTTACCGTTTAAAAAGGTGGTATTCAGAATACAGTTACTTTGTTGAAATAAATGGATTACACTGCGGTACTTTCCTGTTTCATATTGTCGCGGGTCAGGACTGTTTGGGTTTTGTTTGACAGCTACGTTCTGTTGTTCCAGGCGGCAGCGTTACGGTTGCCATGGTTACAGGGCGACGCTCTCTCTCTCTGCGACTGTGTGTTTCCTGGGTGAGAGAGCGCCTTTTCGTTGTTGTTGTTGTGCTAAGCTAACAGGCAGAATGCTACAAGCATAGCTCTAAAGAATGTAGCATCATGTTCAGTGTAGTCCGTGCTGCAGGGAGAATGGACTGCCATACACGTTATGTGTCTGTGAGCGCTAGGAGGGAGAAAAAGGGGAGTGGAAAGGTACGAGCAGTCATCGAGCAAAAACGGGAGCTGGAAGCATGTAAATATAATAATAACCACTGCAGCCAAGAAGAGTGCCTGACGAGCCCAGTTGTAAGTAAGCTATTAAGACTCGACTGTACACTGTGTTCGTGTTTTCCTCCGAAAACAACAAGTTCCGTTGGAGCAGCCTTTCAACGCCTCTCTCTGTCTGTCGCAAGAAAAGTTGACCCACACAACAAAGTAGAGCTATTTTTCGGCTACCAGCCGACAGGGACCCCGCCGTATTATGCTGGGCTTACACTGTGCGATTTTTTCAGTCGCGCGATTCAGCTCCTGCTCAAACTGTACGATTGACTCGCAGGGGTTAGAAGTTCATAGGTCACGATGCAGGGTCTCACACTATACGGCCCGATGCTCTGATGCGACCTGAGTGCTCACACTGTGCGTCCATAAAAATGAAGGTTATAACAGAAATTCTGTCGCTCGCTCTCCCTCTCCGTCTTTCACTCACACAGACACACCACCACCATCAACTTTGCTAAATTGCTAATGAAAAACATTGGTCAGGCAGCTGTGATTGAGCAGCAGTGTCGATCCAACTATTTTCACGGTTGTTGTGGTCGTGATAATTTTGTGAGGCCACATCGAAAGGGCTCGGATGGTTCTACAGGTTGTGCCTCCATCGCTTGTGTCCAGATCACACGCTGCACTGCCGTGCTACGCCGTCTTTTTCGCTGACATTTGTGTTTGCGCGTGCGCAGTGTGGCAAACTGCGGTGACACCCTCACGACCAAGCGATTGATGATCGGGAGCTGGTCGTGAGGTGTCAATCGCTTCTCGTTACCCCACGTATACTACACGATGCACGATGAAGGCCAAAATCGGGCCGATCGCCAAAACGATCGCACGACTCAAAAATCGGCTCAAAATGGGCCAAAAATCGCACAGTGTGAGCCCAGCATTAGTCAGAGGTCCCTTTACTACAGTTCGGAGTCGCGGACCTTCAGTAATAGTAATAAATCACACAGCAATAGTACATTCACGTTGTTGTAAAAAGCATGATAATATTGTAGCGGGTCAGGGCTGTTCGGGGTTCTGCTTGTACAGTTATGTTTTGTGTATGTTGCCATGGTGACGGGTGACGCCCTCTCGCTGCGACGGTGTGTCCTTCCGGGGTCAGAGGGCGCCCTATGTGTGTTGTGGTTGCCGCGCTGAGCAGTTAGCTAGTGGCAGTGTGTTCTTCTGCAAATGTAATAAACGGCTGTGCTCCCTGGCTAGCTCACGGGAAGCAAGACCAAACGATACCTCCGTCTCCTCCTTGTCTGAACTCGCCACAATATATTAAGTAATCCAAAGTATTCAGAATACGTTACTGTCATTGAGTAACGTAACGGAATAGGTTACAGAATACATTTTGGGGCATGTATTCTGTATTCTGTAATGGAATACATTTTAAAAGTAACCTTCCCAACACTGAATTAGCAGAACATAGAAAAAGAGAAAAACTTTTGAAAGAAGAATGTGAGGAACTTATGAAAAACAATTTAGACGACTATGAAGAAAAACTTTTGCATCAGGCAGTGTCCACGATAGACACCCACATGAAACGCCACGATATCGTAGCTAGAGGTTTAGAGGTAGCTAAAGAAATACCTGTTACCCGAACTTTAATAAAGACTTATCTAAAAGGAAAAAAGGAAAAACAAAGCCAGAATGACAAAGGTCCTTACGCCAACACTCGCGGTAATAAACAAACAGAACCAAAATCTAGTGACGTCAATGACACTTACCCCTTTATGATAATAGGAGATCAGTGTTGTATTCAGCCCCCTAAAATCTCAGAATTAGTGGCAACTATTAAAGAGCTTCCCGATCCTCTTAAAAATCCTACAGCCTTTGTCTCTGCACTACAGAGAAGTACCAGATATCACCATTTGGGTGGTCCGGATTACAGGTACATATTGTGTCAATGCATTCCTGGAGTAACCGAGTCACAACTCATAGAAGAGATAGGTGAATTAGATCCAAAGTGTGATAAAGCGTCCACAACTGCAGAGTTCTTGTGGGTAAATGATGACAAAATCACCGGTTTCTTTAGGAATCTAAAGAGATTCCTGTTAACAATGTCCAGAGACAAAATTGACTTAAATGGAGTAACTATGTGTAAACAGAAGCCTGATGAATCTATCCTAGTATTCATAAAACGCTTCGTGCACTGTTGGACTAACGAGGCATGCATGCCTGAAGATGGAAATGATCAGATTTTCATTACTACCTTTTTGAACAATATCCACCCTGAATGCTCTCAGTTGCTAAATGTGACAGCTACTAATAATCTCTATGAACTGAGTAAAGATGCCTTTTTAAAGCTTGTAAAACTGAAGGCCAGTGCAGATCTTTTCCCTACTACCACGAAAGCTAAAAGTGTTAAAATGATGCTGAATTTTGATGTTGCAGATCCAGAAGAAAGTGAGAAACTAATGTATGCAGGAGTACAGCAGGGAGGTTTCAGAGGGCGGAAAGATAAGAGTAGAGATGTGTGTTTTTGCTGTGGAAAGAGAGGACATTGGTCTGGGGAGTGTCAATTTGCAGCTTCCAACAGAGCACGCGTGCCTCAACCACAAAACGCAGGACAAGTTCCTGCCACTAGGCGTCAGCAGAGCTCTTCCAGTCAAGGTAACTGGCAACAACAGGAAGCACGCAATTATGGCCCCACATCTAGGCAGCAGCCTTACAATCCGCGATTTAATCAAGGTAGACAAGCTAGAGGTGCAAATTTAGCTCAGTTTTCCGGCAGCCGCAGACACCCAGAGCATGAATCAGAATGGGAGAGGGTGCGTTACAATTCTCACCATGATCTCTTCCCATCATCTGATAATCCCCGGCTGGACCGCCAATAGGGAGGCCCAGGTGAGGATGAGGGACAGCAGTGTGAGGCACTACACACGATGCTGCATTTGCAACTGTACCCTAATACAGAGCACTTGCCCATGCTAGAAGTAGAAATAGATGGTAAGAAATACCCATTTTTAGTGGATAGTGGAGCCACTAAAAGTTCACTGTCTGGAAAATTCTATAATGGGCCTGTTTCCTCTGTGTGTATCAACACTATGGGAATTAACGGAACTATAGTGCAATGCCCTAAAACTTATTCTCTAAAGACACGCTGGGGCCCAAAACCAGATGAAATCACATATCATTCATTCGTAATTATCCCAAATTCGCCTGTGAATCTATTAGGCAGAGATTTAATGGCAAAAATGAATTTGTGTATTTCATTTAACACAAAGGGTGAAATGTTTGCTGACACTGATAACAGCTATGTTTTCTCTGCCCTATGCACCGACATCATGGAGAAGGAACAGCCTCTGTGTCAGCTGGACGCCTCAGCAGAGAATGAACTCAACATCCTTTTTGTCCGGTACTCCAGTCACACACTGTGCCAAACAGTGTACAGAACCACTACCAGGTAATCCCACACTGGGAGCCACACTTTTGTCTCTCTCACACTGTTCAACAACATGATAACTGCTCACACCAGTGAAGGTCAAACAGTGGTTTTGTCACATAACTCAGACATAGGTTATGACATAACTACACCATGTCGACACATAGATCTAACCTACCCTATCCACTGTACTATTTCTGCAGTTACGTTGCCAGCTGAATACCAGAATATGACATTATGGTCAAAGGTGAGAATGATGTAGGATTTATTGACTGTACACCTTATCACGCACAGCTGAAACACAACAAGCCAGTATATGTCAAGCAATATCCCATTTCCGCCGAAAAAGCCGCAGCCCTAGATGTCATCATAGGAGATTTATTGACTACAGGAGTAATAAAGCCCACAGTATCTCCATATAACACTCCTGTCAATCCTGTGCCAAAGCCTAACAAACCTGGCGTATGGCGTTTCACACAAGACTTAAGGCAAATTAATGCAGTCATTATGCCTCTGCCACCTCTCGTCCCAGACGTTCCCAGCATATTGACATCCATTCCATCCACAGCTACACATTTTACCGTGGTGGACCTGTGTTCCGCTTTTTTCTCAGTGCCTGTGCATGAAGACACACAGCCGTATTTGCATTCACACATAGAAATAAGCAGTACACTTGGACTCGTTTGCCCCAAGGCATGGTAGAAGCCCTGCTGCTTTCTCAATGGTGGTCCGTGCTACCCTGGACAGCTTCACTCCTCCGAGGGCTGTACTGGATGACCTCCTCCTCTGTGCTCCGAGTGAGAACTATGTCAAACTGCTACACACATGCTTCTCCAGCACCTCCAACAGACTGGCCACAAAGCATCAGCAAAGAAAATGCAGTACTGTCAGACTTCTGTTCAATATTTGGGATTCACACTGTCTCACGGAAAACGTTCCATGACTGCAGACAGGGTCAAAGCTGTGACCTCGTCCCTCGGCCCACTACACAGAAGGAAATGTTGTCCTTCCTAGGCATGGTGAACTATTGCAGACAGTGGATACCAGACTGTTCTTTTCATGACCACATTCTGCGTGACTGTTGTAAAAAAGACAAGCCTCCTCGAATACTGTGGTCCACAGAAATGACTGCCTCTTTCAATGCATTAAAGGGAGCGCTGACCTCCGCCCCTTGTTTGGGTCTGCCTGACTACCACTTACCATTCCATCTGTACGTCACAGAGAACGGCACAACCTGTCAGGTGTACTGGCCCAAGAGCATGGCTGTGGCTACCGTCCAGTAGCCTTCTATCAAAGGTGCTGCCTGGTGTTCAGGGGATGCCGGCCTGCCTGAGGGCAGTAGCAGCTTGCTCTATCATGATAAGGGACTGCGAGAAGCTCACACT